AAATTCCAAAAACTAAATGCTTTTATTGATCAAATCTATTCAGTTTGTTTAAATATTCACAACTATTGATCAATGAAATAGATAATTGTTTCTAATTACTGAAAAAAATCACTGTCTATGAAATTATATCATATGCTTAGAGTTAAATGAAGTATATTCTGTGTTTTTATAGATTGCAACTTCATAGACGATAAAAACAAATCTAAGTAAAAAATAAACTTGTCAATCTAATGATTTCATAATAGTAATAGACCATTGTAGGTGTATTCGTGTATTTCATATGATTTTTTTCTCTCTTACAGAAATTATTCAACAGATAAAAGAACTTCCTTTTGTTTTCATAGTATTTAGTTTATTCAAATCTTTCGTCAAATTATTGTCGGTATATTGTTTATTTCGATTGGATGGAGATGTTATGAAGTTTCACAAAAAAAAGAAAATATACTAAACAACTTATTTGTGTATTTTTCTTGTTAAGTTTTGATGTTTTTGAAAATAATACAGGCATATTCGGACATATATCCGCTTTCCATAATTTTATAAAGACAATTAAAAAAAGTATTAATTAAATAGGTATATACATAGCTAGACTAGAATATTTTTTATTAGATTTGTCTTGATTTCGATAATTGATATGACAAAGAACAAATTGAAGGGTCTTCATTGCTTAATATAGTCATAAAAAACTATTCAATTCTCTCATCAATATAGACATTGTTCAATTGGTATTTTTTTGCCGATTTCGTTGTGCAATGAATTGATGTAGTTATCGAGTGTTTGTAAAAGAGACACTTTTATTGCGATATTTATTTTGTTTTTCTTTCCAAAAAAGTGAACAAACATGAGTAAATAATAGATGAGAAAATGTACAAGCAAGACATTTCATTTAAAGAGAGCTTGCTACAATGCATAATTGAACTAAAGAAATAATAATATAATGTATAAAAGGAAATTACTAAGATTATTAGTTAATAAAATTGATCTGAATATGAGGTATCTTTTGTTTATGCTTTATATTTATTTATTTAAATCTTATAATTTCAATTAGTTTGTTATATGTTGACAATAATAAGAAAATATTTTGTTATACTCGAAGTACGTTAATTTCGTTGACTGAAAAGTATCTCTGCCTTTTTTAGAAATCAAATTATGTATAGATCAAATATTTGATTTTGTAAAAGAAATCTCAATAATAATAAATCAATTAATTAATCAACCATATATTTCTTTTCTCATTAGACTTTCAATGAAAAAATTTTGATAAAGATGTGTTAACGTTCTATGCCTGAAAAAGAATTTTCGTACGAACCATATGTTAAGAAGTATAAGTGAATCTTTGAAAAGTAGAAGAAAAATTTGATCTAAATGATATTTAAAGAAAAATGCAAATGTCCCCCTATGAAATGATATCCTTCTCATTACTTTTATGAGAAGTTTCTATCAATAAAAAGGCTTATAATAAAAGACTTATTGACATATTTATATTCGATATATATGATAGAATTCAGATTGATGTTGATGCTTAAAGAATATTTGTGTAAAGTTTTTTGTTTAAAATATCAAGTAACTTCTCCCGATTGTAACGTATTAAACAATGAGTCTTTTGATAAGATTCATAAACAATTTTCTTTATGTTCTAATATTTATTCAAATTTAATTTATGTTTCTTTTTTCAAATGACCTCAGTTCAATTCAAATAGTCATTAGTCCAGAAATCTTACTCATATGAACTGCTGATCGCAAGATTCAATTAGTATGATTAGGTACACCAGATCAGGCATCATATGATCATGGTTGCATAAGAGAAAAATAATTTTTGAATTTTAATATCAAGACAGACGAACTCTTTGCCAGTATTTTCATATGAAGAAATCCAATATGATTTTTTTTTGTATTAACCTCTTTGTATATCTGTTGTGTCTGTTATTTATTTGATTAAATCAGTAAATTGAATGAAGGCATTAATAATTGTTTTCTTATTCAAACGATTAATGTGGAAAATCAGCTATTGTAATCAATTTAAATTAAATAGTCTGGTTGCTTTGCCTTTTATTTTGAAGAAAGTTCGTTTCCAGGAAAAAGTGCATTTTGATCAGAGACTTCTCTTTAGGTTCTCTAATAGTGTAGAGCTAAGTTCAAATTTGGGTGTGGGTGTAGATAAAGAGAAGACCCCTACCCACATTCACACACCCACACCCTTCAAAAAAGTTTCTTCAAAAGAAAATTTTTATCAAGATCAAATAACAGGAAAATTAGAAGCTGTTGGAGATACAGTAGAACCATTTTATTTTATTTTACGTCCAAAAGATGAACAAAATTTAACTCGTGAAGATCAAGATAAAGGAAAAGAATTATATTCACTTTTAGTTCAATTTGAAATTATTCAAGGAGATACAATAAGAAAAATATTTCGAAATAATTCACAAGAACGAGATAAAATAGAAAAGATAATTTGAAATGATCTTGATCCTTCGATTGCCGATCCATTAATTAGTTTATTAAATAGTAAATCTTATTTTGAAAAAAAAAGATTTCGACGATATTGTTTGTTATAGTGAAGAATTATGGCAAATTTTAAATATAAATAAAATAGAAAAAGAATTACCACGGATATATGAAAATGTTTGGAAAGATTTAGAAGATAAAATAGATCCACAACAAGTTAATATTTCTCTATTTGAACAATCAATAGAAAGGAAAATATGCGAAAATTAAATTTAATGGGAATGGTCATGAAACAAAAGATCTTAAAATATTTTTAATAGAATTAAAAGATAATATTAGTCAACAAAATCAATATTTTTATCAAACAGATTTACCATTTACTATTAAAGAAGAAGAAGGAAATAATATTCGAATTTATCTAAAAGAAAAAAATATTTTAAAGTCTGGTGGACTTGCTAAATATAAATATGTATATATTAAAAGAAATATTGAAAGAATTTTAAAAAATATTCAATTTGAAAATGATAAAGAATTAATTTTGTCGAAAATTTTGTCTTTACAAGGAGATATTCGTTCATTTAAAACAGGTTTAAAAGCTAATTTAAAAGATTTTATAGATCTTCAAGATCAAGAAAATGTTCCAAGTGAATTAAGATTTTTTTGAAGGTTTTAATCTTAATAAATTTTTGATTATTGAAGAAGATAAATCTTGGTGGGATTGGAATGGTTTTGCCGTTGCAATGATAGGACTTGTTCAAGTCATTGCCGAAGCTGTTTTAGTAGCCTTTGGTTTGACTCAGATAGGCAATGCTTTAATATCAGGTATTTTTAGTTGGAAAGAATGGGCAATACAAAAAGCAATTAGCTTCGGTCTCTCTATGTTGACTGCTGGAATTGGAAAGTTTTTGACGGATAAAATTATGGAACAGATTCAAGAAAATATTTATACAAAAGATTGTTAATGAAATAGAAGAAAATTTATTAAAAGAAATAATCGGTTTAATAAATAATAAAGTAGAAACTGTTTATCTTCAAAGTAAAAATGAAGAAGAGTTCGAAAAATCTTTTGAAGAATTGAAAAAACATATTAGAAAAAACATTAGGAAAATATATTTTATTACCTCAACAATTTGATAATATTCGAACACGAGTTGTATCTTCTTTAAGAAATAGTTATCATCTATTTGCTGATGGTCTAAAGAAATCAAATTCAAAATACGTTAAAATAGCTGCTACTACTCTTAAAGCAATAGATATCATTAATAAGTTGTGGACTGTAGTTCAATCTGTCTTACAGTTCGAAAAATGTCTTTAATACTTTAAAAGATATTATTGAAGGTACTACCAAAGAAAATCAGAATATTTATAGAAAAAACATTAATAAGAACCTTGTCGAAACAAGAGCAGAACAGTTGAATAGAATCATTAGAGAATATATATATCAACTAAATTAACAAAAGAATTAGATAAAGTAGTAAGACAAGCTATTAATCGAACATTAAAACAGATTGGAAAAACCATTGTAGAAGGAATAAAGACAATGGTTGATTCACAATGTAATGGAAAAAAATCCAGCTAATATATTGAAACAATCGAATCAAAATAGACAAAAACATGCAGAAAGTCAAATTGCTAATAAATCAAGATTCAAAGAAAGAACAACAAGATCGAGCGAAACGAGAAGATCTACAACATAATATTAGAAATCCAAAACAAATTACGGCAAGTTATATGAGATAAGCAAAAGATAAAGATAGAGCTTTAGGTCTAACTGATATCAAAATGTTAGCAGATCGTAAAAGAAGAAAAATAACTGTTTACAATTCAGATACTGACGAAAAAGAAATAGTAAATCCTTCAGAAGTAAGAAAAATACTTGCTCTTCTTAAACAATCTGCTAAAATATATTATGAAGCAGATGAAAATGGAGATATTGAACATTATTTTACTGGTAGAGGAACAGAAACATATATACAGATCAGTGGACGGATAGATTGTTTGCTAATAGCTTATCATGAATCATTAGGTAGAAAAGTAAATGAAAATATTATAGGACAAGAACGAGTATCACTACGCCGTTAGACTGCTAAACATTCAGAAAAATATGTTAGAGACGTAGATGGGAGATTGATTTGAATAGATGTAATCAGATGATAGATGGTACACCAAAGAAAAATCTTTACATCTTCAATCCTATCACTGTAATGCAGGATGGTTCTAGAAAAAGAAATAAAATATAAATTAATGCCTGAAGCTATGAAAAAATTAAGGAATGAAAATGATAAACTAGTGGTAATTATGTCTCAGCCGTTTAAGGCGGGTACAATAAAGCAAACAGATAATGTACGCTTAGATGATCAGAATTTTACTGGAAATAGTGACTATATTAATTTTCAAGTGCAAATAGATGGACAGAGATATAAACATCAACGTAGGGGTAATGAATCTACAACTGTCGCACATGTTTTAGTGACAAGACCACTAAAAGATTCTGATGCTGTTTATCATTGTAGCTCAAGAAAAATTGCTCAGGTCCTTCTTGATAGTTTAAATAATGGCAAAACAGTAAAATTACTTGCAGAAAATCTTTAATAGGCATTTCAAATTAATCACCTTTAAGTTTTGGTTAAAATTTATATGTGAACAGTATCAAAATCTTTTCCATCTATACAATGCTCTCATTATTGTTTAAATAAATCTCATTATTAGTAGCATATTCCCATTCTCCTTATGTATTTTCAGCAATCAATGTGTTGCCTTCTTCAAATTTTGTTGATCGAATGAAATATACTAGAATATATACACATTCACCTTCCTGTTTTTATACAATTTGACAGTAGATCAGTACAACAGTAATAACTTGCAGGAGTGACTTTTCTCTTGTTATTTTCTTCCGATTCATTCTCATATTGTATAATAACAATAAAGAACAAAGAACAAAAATGAAGATATATATGTTCTAATACATTCCATTTCATTAATAAAATTTGATAGAAGGACTTTTGATTATGGAAATATCATGAAGTGAAAAAAAAACATATTCTGCTCAAGAAAAGATTTATTTGAACAATTCTTCTATGTTAATTTATTATTTATACGAATAGTTTGCATTTGTAACATGTTGTTTTAAAGAAAAACATTTTCAAAAAACGAAATTGTTAGAAAAACTTTTCTTTTTGCGTATTTCAGTAGTTAGTTAGTACTGGTCCTATAATTCAAAACCATATAACTTTCAATACTACCGCTACCACGGAGGGAATAGATATTTTAGACTTTTTTTTAGTTTGTAGAGTAGATCTGGACATATAATTTTTGGATTTCTCTTTTGAATGATGACATGATCTCGGAAATACTAGCCAGAAAAGTCTATACATCCTCAATCATCAAAGACTGGGGGTGCTTAGTTTGACTGAAAGCTCCAGTTCTTTTTCTATCACCTCGCTTCCATAATATATCAGAAAAAAATGTTTTTTTTACCACTTACAGTGTTTGCATAATGCTAATGAACGCTATCTCATGTGAAATCAAAATCTTCAAAAAAATCTGTTTGTAAGTAGAAAAATATTTTTTCAAGACTTTGATTTTTTTCATTTTACATAAGATAGAGACTCCTTAGACTTGCCTGTTCATTAGAATTAGGTGAACACTATAAATGGTAAAAAAAAATCATATTATGGAAGCAAGACGATAGAAAAAGAATTGGAGCTTCCGGTCAGACTCAGCACCTCCGTATAATTCCAACTTTGCCTATAGATTTTTATGTATTCTGTTACAATCAAAATAATTGATGAAGACTTTACATAAAAATATTTTATTACACTTCTAAGTATTATATCATTTCTAAAAAGTTTTGTTTGTCACAATTTTCTGCAAAAACATTCATATTTTTGTGTGTACAAAGTTTCATCAAACTAATAAAGAAATGTAAGTTTAAAACTAAAAAATTTTACTAATATCCATTCTCTGTTTAAAAACGCCTAATAATTGAGCTATCTCAATTACTTTCACTTATGTATTGCGTTTTTTTGTACAACAAGTTGTCTGTTATGTTTTATTATTCATCTTTCATTATTGTACTGTTTCCTATTCTATAATAATTTTCAGTATATTGTGCCAACATATTTATATTATATATTAATATGTTGAAATTGAGTGTTCCTTCTCTTTTCTGTATTACCCACACTTTTGATCTTGTGGATGATTTCTAGCAAATGACGGCTAGTCTCTCTCCCATACTGCTGTCTAGTTAATTTGGTACTAATAAGACAAAAGAAAATATGAGCAAAAGAAGATCGAACTGAAGCATTTTAATTGGTCTTGTTAGCATCGTATACTTCATGCCTCACTATAACATTGATGACGTGAACTGATCTGATAACCATTTTGTCTGACGGTACACTCAAAATTAACCGAAATTAATATCCAAAATAATCAGTAATACCTTGATCAGAATATCTTGATTGTGAACATTTGCAGAACATTTCAAGATGAAAATGTGTCCCTACGTTGTCATTAATAGTCAAAGACTAAACTTTATCTTCGATACAACAACAAAAATTTTCCGGATCGAGTATGTGTAACGAGACCTATCAACACGTTGAAATTTTTGTTAAGAAGGCAAGCTTTGATTCGTTCTATCATGACACTGTAGTGGATTTACTCATGAAAGTAAAACAATTGAAATCAAGTGAATATGCGATAACTTACGAAAATTAGCAAATCTTGATACTATCAAAATCAAATTTTTCATAAAACCAGTATCAAGCTAATCCATCTGAAATTCTGGGCGTCAAGAACTAGCGTGATCATCTTATTTCATGACATTTCAGTAAAGGAACTTACATCCTGAAATGCATCCAAATCGATTGCACAGATTTGATGTAATTCTATTACAACAAAATGATTATAGTCAATCACACATTGAGTTCAATATCATCACAGAGAATATAATGTTGAGTTAATGGGGAATTTCATTTTGCGGCAAATTCGAATTAATCCACATCTTCCTATCTGAATTCAGCGAACATATAGATGCTATGGACAAGCGAAATATATGATTTAAGAATTCAATCATAGAAACGGACCCAGATATATTCATATAGCGGTATAGTAGTATAGTGGTATAGTGGTATAGTGGTATAGCGGTATAGTGGTATAGTGGTATAGCGGTATAGCGGTATAGTGGTATAGCGGTATAGCGGTATAGCGGTATAGTGGTATAGTGGTATAGCGGTATAGTAGTATAGTGGTATAGTGGTATAGTGGTATAGCGGTATAGTGGTATAGTGGTATAGCGGTATAGTGGTATAGTGGTATAGCGGTATAGTGGTATAGTGGTATAGTGGTATAGCGGTATAGCGGTATAGCGGTATAGTGGTATAGTGGTATAGTGGTATAGCGGTATAGCGGTATAGTGGTATAGTGGTATAGTGGTATAGTGGTATAGCGGTATAGTGGTATAGCGGTATAGCGGTATAGTGGTATAGCGGTATAGCGGTATAGCGGTATAGTGGTATAGCGGTATAGTGGCATAGTGGTATAGCGGTATAGTGGTATAGCGGTATAGCGGTACAGTGGTATAGAGGTATGGTGAGTCTATGGGTTTTTTTTGTTTCAAATTGAATTTCAAATAAAAAAATAACACCCCATTTTTACCAAGGCATGGGAACTAAGGGGACTAAGAAATTCTTTGAATTCAGAATTCAAGAATTCTTTGGTTCCTTATAAAAAAAGGGTACCATGTATACATACTAGGATATATAGAATTCAGTCGACATATGTTATATCTATGGTACCTTTTTTGAGGGTGGCTAGGAGAACTAAGGGGACTAAGATGACTAATCGGACTAACTAAGCTGACTAAGGGAACTAAGGGTAGGAATAATGGTGTACACAGAGACATGCATGGGTCGCGGCTCTTCGGGGGGCGCTTCGCGCCCCCACGCCGCGACGCTGAAATAAA